CGTCGACCGAGAGGTGCTTTAGCAACTACTTCGCTACTACGGGGTGCCACCGACAATTATACATCTCGTCCAATAGCTGTTCGAAAATGCTGCATGCCGAGTAATCCACAACGGGAAACTTACGGAACCCTTCGAAGTGAGGACAGGAGTAAGACAAGGCTGGATGCCTACTATCGATAAAGATTTTCTTGATTGAAGTAGACTGGATAATGCGACAAACAGCGTGCAATGAAGAAACAGGCATAAAATGGACTCACACAAAAAACTTGGAGGATCTGGACTTCGCCGATGATGACATATGTCTGATTTCCCACAATCTGGAAGATATCCAAGCGAAAAGCAACAAGTTGGCAGAAGAAGCATCCAGAGAAGATAGGACTTACGGTGAACATAGAGAAAACAGAGGTGATGAAGATTCCTGGGCAACACCACCACCAACAACAACAGACAACAATCAGCATAAATGGGAGGAACCTGAAAGAAACAACCTCTTTTACCTGCCTACCTGGGAAGCATCGTTTCAACTACAGGTGGATGAAACTGACGAGGACATCAAAGCAAGAATCGGAAAAGCAAGACAAGCCTTCACTACTCTCAAGTCTGTATGGAGGTCAACAGCACTCAGCACCAAAAGTAAGATCCGGATTTTCAACTTCAATGTGAAGTCAGTGATACTCAGTATACGGATCAGAGACTTGCACTGCGCGTCATAAAGAGCATCTTAAACAAACTACAGACCTTCATCTAAACAGATGTCTTCGCTCAATACTTCGCTCAAGATCAGATGGCCGGTCAGAAAAGATTAGCAACAGAGATCTCTGGCAATGAGCGAACCAACCCAGCAGGAACCGATTGTGAAACAAATATGCAGGAAGAAATGGAGATGGATTGGCTGGTCATACTCTGAGGAAACAAGCCATCAAGTGACATCACTAGACAAGCCATTGCTCGAGTGGAGCCCGGCCGAAAGGGAAGCGGCGGCGAGTTGGTCGCCTGTGCAAGGGTGACTTGGAGGAGGTCATGTGAAGAGGAGATGAAAAGGGGTGGGAAGACTCTAGCAGAGAACCGAACGCAATGGAGACGCACGGCTGAAGCCCTGTGTTGCTCTAGGAATTAAAGGAAATAATAATAAGTGACAAGCGAAAAATTTGATTCTATGCCCTGACAGTACATCTAACCAGAGTGAGTACAATACAGTACAGTGCTGATGATGATAAACTTGCCTCTGAAATAACCGAACAAGTGTGTTCTGTGACGCTTAAATCACTTTTACCTGGCTAGCAAGAATTACTAGTCGGTTTCCAAAATACCTATGTCAACCATTATTAAGTATATCTATGATTCACTAAATGTTAAAATGGAGTTATTAACAAAAGATAACCGTGGTATTTCTTCAGCAATCAATCTAAAAGAAATGCTTAGCTTATTATTATTATTATCATTATTATAAAGACTAGTGGGATGTTTAAACGTCATGAAACCAATCTGTCAGACAAAAAGCGGTTAAAAAAATACTGATCAATGAAGAAAAAGAAGATAAACAAATAGATATTCTTTCCGACAAATTCGTCATTCGGATTCACCCACCATTTTTACATGACTGTGCTATAATTAAAGAATGCTTGCCATTAACACAACAATATCAGTGTTTTAAAACTACATTAAATCAATATTATCCATACATAGTATTTTTCTAGAAAAAAAGTTGGAGATGAGACGCATTAATATCACAATGAACTGATTGAACAGCAGACAAACTAAGGTAAGCCACACAGAATGTACAGGCTCGATAGCTGACCAGGATGACAGTACATGCTAGAGCTGTTACTTCCGCATGCAGAGCTCCAGTTGTTTTAGGCGAATTTCAATGTCCTGTAATGTTTGAAGTGTTTGATATCTAGAGGCCTTTGTTAGTTTAATTGATCCTTCGTAGATGACAGAGGAAGATCCTTCAATGTTAGCTTTGTGGACACTTTACACGGAGTGGTCCGATGTAGAATCAAAGAAGACTTCCGAACAAGTCCAATCCGTCCTGAATAAGATACTTCTGCTTGATCTAAAATTCAAAGGTGACATTGAAGCAGAAATCCTTCGTAAATGCCTCTGCAAATCTCTGAGGAAAAAGAACATACTTAGTCGCGAGCCTACGACTGACGTTTTCCTGCAAGAAACTATTCAGCTAGAATGTGGAAGACAAGCTGTCGCATTGGGCCACTTCAAAGTGCATATACTGCTTTACTTGCTCTTGCGGAGCTGAATACATCGGCCGTACCATGCGCCAACTTGAAAAAACGCACTTGAAAAAACATTATCCAGCCTGGCTAGTAAAAGGCGATCGAAAATGTGTATATAGTTCAGTGACAGAACATCTGGTCTATTCAGGACATTCAGCGCCATTCAAAAAATCCTTCAAAATAATATACAAGATTCAATCAGACCTACCAAAGGGAGTAACATTAAGACATCTGGGCGTAGTCGAGGCACTAGTCATCTAAAAGCTTAAACCCACGCTATGTATCCAAAAGAAATACGTCCAACCCCTGTCCCAGCAATGGCCATTGTGAACAGGTAATTCTTCTAATAGTGACTATCCCATTACCTTTCTTATCCAAACTTCCTTTTTATTCATATTACTTTTAAGTTTTTCTTAATCCCTATTTACACTACCATATTTTCATGTCCGTACTTCCTGTCTATTTTGTCATTTTATTATTTATACATATTAGTCCCTGATTGCATAAGCAATTATTCGTCTCATTAGATATGATCCCACTAGATTTTTTATCCAAACATCCTGTCTATTTTTGTTATTTCTACATTTCTAACCACTAATTGCATAATATGTGAATCTTCTCAGTAATTATGATGCTACTTTGTATGAATTTTATACGTTCCCCTGTTTATTATGGCATTCTAATTCCTAATTGTAATTTCATTATTTGACCCTTGACCGGGAATAATTCTGGAACTTTCCCACCCATTTGTTTTAAATACACGAATGTACAGCCTAGTTGATGGTGACTTCGTCGAAAAGAAAATTTTCTTCGTTGCAACCGTCTTTTTAAGAATATAGAACTGTTGGCAGTTTTGACATCACTTACATTCAACCTCTAGTTGTATCTATCAATCCATCTGATCCTGTGGAATCAGTTATACTGACCGTCACTATAAGAATATAGCTTTCTGTGCTTTGAGAAAACCTACCAGTGTGGTAAAGTGAATCTGTGGTAAAAGCCATCAACAGTTTGATATTAGATCACCTCACGGGGTCACCAATATCTCCGGTTTTTGCAGATATATTCATGGATAGGTGAGAAAACATAGCGATTGAAACGTTCACCCCCACCCTAAAAGTGTGGTGGAGGTATGTATATGACACATTCACTGTACTCAGAACACAGAACGAAGACAGATTTTCGAACACATTAACTCAAAAGTGGAAGCAATTCAATTCACTCATGAAGTGGAAAGTCAGGAAGGGGAGCCTCCAATGTTAGATTACAGTGTAAAAAGGAGAGAAGAACGGATGTTAAACACTAGTGTTTACGGGAAACCCACACATTCGAACAGATATTTGGACTTCCGATCATCCCATCCTATGTCAGTGAAAATAAAATTGGTGAAATGTTTAAGTGACAGAGCACAAAAACTAAGTAATAGCAAGGAAAATCTAAGACAGGAAGTGAGGCACATAAGAGAAGCTTTGAAATATATAATAATTACTCTGATAAATTAGTCAGGAAATATGTAAGAAAATGTAAAAATAAAATAAATGATAACGGTAGTGATAGTGATAATAATAATAATATTAATGACGACATGTATGTCAAATATATGCAAGACAACACCAACAATAAGAAATCTAAATCATCAGTAGTAATTCAATTCAAGGAAGAAACCTCGGGTACCTTTCGCAGAATTCTTAACAAGGCAGGGATAAAAGTGCTTGGCATTCAAACTGCACACAAAGTCAATTAGAAACAAGCATTGTAGGTTTAACGATCAATCCTGTGAAGCCTTTAAAACAAAACAATTTAGATTATCTAATGCACTGCCTTCAGTGATTGTCAGGTCGAATACATAGATCAAAGTAGTAGAATAGAGGCAATCAGTCAGACTAGCCAAGCATAAAAGCCTAGCAAAACCCAGATTGGTTGACCTGAATAAGATAAGAAATCTAGAGAGTAGTTCAGCTATCGCACTACATGCAATTACTCACAACCATACAATAGGCTGGATGAGATAAGATGAAGATTTTAAAATCTAATGTCACAGGGTAGAGGGAGAGATTCATAACGGAAGCTTTGTTTATCGAATCAAATGAGTAGAATGCATGTAGTAGGAATGATTCAACACCTGTCCACACAGATATCTGGAAAATTCTACTACCCCAACGACGGCAAATCGGAGAGAACAAAGGAAACTATAAAAATGAAGTTTCGAAGTCGTGTGATTATAATTGATGAAATGATTATGAACAGTAATGAATAGTGTTCGAAATGTCATCCAGTAAATAATACTGTTTCACTCACTTTGTGATATATCTACTAAACAAACTAATATGGAATTACTTACTACCACAGTGCTCAAGTTTTACACATATATTGACATTCCAATTCACCTAAAACAGCTGGAGTCCTGCATGCGGAAGAAGCGGCTCTATCCACTACTGTTATCCTGGCCGGCTGTCGAGGCTATACATTCTGTGCGCCTTACCTCAACTTGTCTACTGTTCAATCAGTTTTGTGTAATAATAATGCGTCTCACCTCCAGCTGTTTTTTGGAAAAATACTATATATGGATGATATTGATTTACTGTAGTTTTAAAACACTGATATTGTTGTGTTAATAACAATCATTCTTTAATTGTAGCACATTCATATAAAAATGGTGGGTGAATCCGAATGACGAATTTGTCGGAAAGAGTATCTATTTGTTTTTCTTCATTAATCAATCTTGTAAATGTATAGGCATGTTCAATTTATTGAAAAGGCAGTTACCTTAAAAGCAGTACAGATACAGAAACCAGAGTATACGCAAGCAGTGTACCGATTGACATCATGTCGACTAAATCCTGTAGGCTAAATAATCCAGCCATTATGCCTAAAATTTGTCAAAAGACAAAACACACCATGTATATACACAATATTGTGAATAGTAAGTAATACAATAAATACGTAGTATTATTTTAAAATAATTTAAAACTATCTATCTAACTGTGGAGCCAGTTACATAGGCCGAACAATTAGGTGTGTTTTTCGTCGGATTACAAAACATCACCCTGAATGGTAGTTAAGTGAAGATCAAACAAAATCCATTCGTAACGCTATCCTATCCCATCTTGTGGATACAGAACACAAGATGATGTCAACGAGACGGCTTTCAAAGTCATTTACCGCATATCAACAAATTTTAACTTCACCTTAAGAGTTCGATTAATAAATACTGCTGAAGCTGTTGGGATCCACATCAAGAAGCCTAATTTGTGCGTCCAAAAGAAGTTAGTTCGGACATTGTCCTTACCTTAGCCATCCAGGTTTGAATGAACCTCAATTTTTGTGGAAATCTCCCTAATTTCAGTTGATATTCTATTCGCTATTATAATTTTATTATTATTACTCTAATTTAAGCATCTTCAATGAGCTGTAACAAATCGATATTATTTAAAAGGCACTAATATTGGTATTAACTACTATTCTAGAATATTCTATGTATATTAACATATGTATATAGTTGTAGAGGCAGAAGAGGAAATTATCGAAAGGGGGATATTCTTTGCTCAATTATTGTGTGTTTTATAGATGTCTGAATGAATATTTTCGCTATATAAAAATACAAGTAGCTCTCAGAGCTATTTGCCAACTTTATTGCACCTCCATTCTATTTGCTCAGAGTTAGTCGTTAGGTCTATTAGGCTATCTGATGTTAGTTTAACTTCACTCTATAACTTGCATTGCAAATCACGATTATAATTGTTTAGAGAGTCACTTTCTCTCATTCAGTCTGATAAATAAATAAATTAATTAAATAAATCATATCTTAGGCTTTCAACTGATCCGATAAATTACATTATCTAGTGTTAAGCATAATAAAGCATGCCTTCAGCAGTAGGTAATATTGTAAAGGTGAAAGACAAGAGACCTAGTAAGGGAATGTTTATTTGCTATTTTGGGGTCTCAATATGGTGAAATTCTGTATACCTTTTCTCCAAATCGTCATTTGCGCACAGATCTTCTGTGTTGTTGTGTTACTTTTGGCCAAGTTAAACTTTAAGCACCAATAACCACCAGTCAGCGAACGACCTCGAATGGTTAAATGAGGTTCATGCACGTGAGTTCAAGTTTGTATGGCGCTTGATTCGTTTCAAATGCGTGCTCTAACGAACTTGCGCTTGCAGTTCGAGGAGGATACGGTTTTGCTGTATTTCCTGGATTTCGGGTTGTTTAGGAAGGAGAGGATTTGTTTATGTGGTGGTGTCATGAATTTAAAAAGCTTAAGCAGTTTGATTGATGGATATGTTCATCGTTGTGCAATTTGCTTGAGACGAGTCAGTATTACGGGAGATAAGCTGATGATTTTAAAATTTCGTAGGAACATTTTTCGCTAGGTCGCATCGCTCCCTAACCCAGATTTTATGTATGTGTAACTACTGGGTTTTAAAACAATCTGTAAGAGGGGTAGCTGCTGAGACCGAAAATAGCCTCGTGTCAACAGTTTAGTGGTACCAGCACTGCAGAGACATCGCCTCATGGAAAATGGAGAGAATTACTTCGTTGATAGGCAGAGAAGGTGTCATCGTACACGTGGACGAAACTGTGTTACTGAAGAAAAAATGAATCCGTGGTCACGAGCGAGCCAACAATGTTTGGTTGATTGTTTTTTTTGACACCTCCCTACGGAAAGGATTCGTGGAGAGAATACCAGACAGAAAGTCAACTACTATTTTAATACCTATTATTACTGGACTTGTGAAACAAGGATCCATAGTACATACTGATGAATGGAAAGGTTATAACTCCCTGTCATCTCTCGGATGTATTCATCACTGAGTGAACCATTCTAATGATTTTATGGATCCCATTACGGGGACACACAAATTCTATAGAGGGATTTCGGGGAAGACTGAAAAATAGGATTAGGGCTATAAATGGATCTCAAAAGGACCTCAATTATAGCCGTTTGGATGAATATATGTACAGAATGTGGTGTGAATTTTCTATTGACACTCCTATGCTAAACTGGGAGATGTTTCTGTCACATGTTAGAGAGAAAGATACCCTATGTAACAGTTGTATGCAGTTTTTATGCTTTTTTTCCATATATATACATTTTCAATGAACAAAAATCCCTCTTTCATGTGACTAGTCTGTTGAAGGTCATTCGCTGATTGGTAGTTAGTGGTGCTTAAAGTTTAACTTTGCTGGTTCATTTACTCTCTTTGATGTCAAGTCTATCTCTCCACTATTTCATATTTTTATCCCGATGAACGTCTCTTTACATACTACTGATAAATCTTATCAGTAGGACACACGCTACAATGCCACTCAACTGTAATATGCATCATATGCTTAAAATTTCTTATTTACAGTAAAGAATGGCGTGATCTGCAGATTCTTAATAGATGCCTTTATCGCATCTACAAAATTTTCATTATAAATCAAATAGAATGTCGGTTTAAACAAAAAGTCCATTTAATTGGTTGGTCTTTTTTGAATTATTAAAAGCGCCAAATATACACTATCAGGCGATTTCTTTGAAATAATTCAAAGAAACAAAAATAAACAAAATTGGTATTGACCATTTTTTAAAAACAATTACTTCGATCAATAAATTTGGATAACATTATGTCGGGAAAACAGAGTTTATCCGAATGAAAAATACTGCGTTTGGGCAATACTTCTCCAGCCACCTGGGAGTACTGTACAGCTGTTTCATCTGCCCTGTTTGGGACCTTTCAGAAGTACGAACCCACCTACAGGGTTCGAACTCAGAACTTTCTCGTTACAAGGTAAGCAAGCTCGTAGACCATTAAGCCACTGGGACCCAATCCAATGGCTAGCCCATGAATTCTAACGTCTGCCAACTCACGATATAAAGCGATTGCCACCGTTGGTGAGCATTTATCCTCACACTCGACCTGCTGTACCACACTGGTCACGACTTCCCACTAGAAGCCAGGTAACCAACTACCTGAATAGGGCCAGTCAAATCCCTGCAAACCAACATTTGAACACTAATCTGATGTGAGGACAAATACTTGCCACCAATGACAGTGGCTAGTGGCAGTCGCGCTGTATCGTTTGTGAATTTGGAAAAGTTGGAATTCGTGGACTGACCATTAAATCGGGTCCCAGTAGCTTAAAGGTCTACGAACTCGCTAGCCCTGTAGCTGGAGGGTTCTAGGTTCAAACCCTGTTGGTGAGTGCGTAGCGCTGACGAATCAGCTAACTGCCCAGCACTCCCTGGCAGGTTTTTCAATGGTCCTCTAACCAATATCAGTTCACGATGAAATCCTGTAATCAACCAATCAAATCCTTGCAAACCATCACATGAACATTTCCAACAATCTGATTCCAAAGACTCACTTCTCAAATCAGTTTATATATGAAAAGTTGTTAAAATAAAAATGATAAGAGGTGATAAGCGTTAAAGAAGGTAAATAAAGAATGCTACTCTTGATACTGTAATAATAATTAAACTAATGATAACCAGAATAGGTCAAGGGTAATAATAAAGTTATTTATCTGCACATCCTATTTTGTATATAGAAGTACATATGTACGCGTGTCATCACATATACATAGGGAGGAATAACCGCGTTTTTCACGTCAGGATAAGCAGACATGTACCCAAAAAGGAACTGTGAAATCTCGATAAAGGCAGGTAGGAGACTACAAGATTCGTTTATAACAAAACGCCTAATTGATATATATCACAAAAAGGATCTTGAAACAGCTTTCAAGATCATTTGATAAAAACCTTTAGGAGGTGGGGGGCACATTCTGAAATTCGTTAAGGCTTATAAATGCCCATAAAATCAAGTCCTCTCTCCTTCTTCAGTGTGTACGAAAGCAATTTATTACTCATCTTAACCTACTTTCGTAATCAGTAACCTAATTCTGTTGCCAAGAGTAGTGTTAGTTACCATTTTACTGATTTTAGTTAGGCTTTCATTTTTCAGTAGTAGTTTAAGCAGACTGCTGGCCGTCCAACGCGTGCTTTATCTAGAACAGTCGAAGAACATCATCCCTCTTAGCTACAAAAACGTAAGGTAGGATCAATGAGGGGTGCGATAAATGAACTTATATTCAACACTGATCACCCAATTTGCAAACAGAATTCAAGTAAAGTTGTCTACAAAGTCAAAAGAAGCCTTCTCAAAAACAGCGGTTATGCTTCCGTGTACTTTGCATTGCTAAGGTTTCAACGATTTGAATAGAAACGCCTGATTTATGTACACAGAAGAAACTTCTCCACCTCCTCGTTCAACTTTTGGGATAATTCTAAGTTCTACTGTTTTATCAATAATTTTTGTGTTTTATTTTTGTTTTTGAATTGTTGTGTGACATCTTCTTAACCAACCTTCTATTTACTCTTTCTGCCTATTACATAATTTATTTTTTGGACCAGTGTCTCCATTAACATCCTATTTCATATTAAACAACCATTGTCAATACTTGGCAGTCTTTCCCCCCCCCCCCCACTTGGTTACAATTCTGAATATTCATCACATTTTAGAAACATTTTGATGACTTAAACAGTAACCCCAATTAATTTTTATTTTTGTTTGACAATCCAAATGTACACACATACACACAAAATAATTATATATAAATGTTTTTACGAGTTGATCACGGATTGACGTCAGTTAGAGAACCATTGAAAACCAGCACTGGAATGCTGGAAAGCTGTTTCCGTTGTCCTGGTTTGAGAATCATCCCCAGTATGCACCCACCACCACCGTTCGAACCCAGGACCTTCCGGTTACAAGGCTAGCGAGCTCGTAGACCCTTCAGCCACTGGGACTCGACCCAATTCATTGGCCAGTCCATGAATTCTAACTTCTACCAGTTCGTGATTTAGCGCGACTGGTGCAAACCAATGTTATTGGTGGGAATTCCATCCCCACTTCCTACTGGATGGGCCACACTGGTCACGGATTTTCACTAGAACTGCAGGGAACTCCGTCATTACAACCATCCTTACAAACCAGATATAGAAATTAATGTGACGCTCGCCACTGACTTGCCACAAGGCAGAGTTTCCTGGAGTTCTAGTAAGAATTCATGACCGTTGAGATCCATCCACTCAAGTGTGAGGATGAAGTTCCTGTCGACAACATTGGCTGGAGTCACGTTAAATCAAGAGTTGGTAGAAGTTAGAATTTATGGACTGGGTGGGTCCCATTGGCTGAATCGTACACGAGCTTGCTTGCCTTGTAACTGGAAGGTCCTGGGTTCGAACCGTGGCAGTGTGTGCATACTGCCGATGATTTCCCAACTAGGACAATGGAAACAGCTTTCCAGTATTCCGGTGCTGGTTTTCAATGATTCTCTAACTGATATCAGTCTGTGGTCAAACTCGTATAAACAAATCTAATCCTTACAAACCAACTACAGAGAATATATAAATGTGATTTTACAGCTGAGTGAATGAATTCGCCGCTGAAAAGAGACTCTTTGCTGAAGTTTGTTCTTCCTATATATTTGTTCAACTGTTATCAATAATTTGTTATTAATACTACTTTTCGCATTTTTCTCCCGAATATTTTCATATTACGTAACCCTAGTCTAAATTTACTAATCTCCAGCCCCCCTTCTGGTTATAGTCTGATTATTTACCACATTTTCGAAGTATTTTGATGATGTAAACAATAGCCCAGACTATTGAATTAGTTGTGTTCTCTGAGAAGCTGGTTGATTTAACTGAGAAGCTTTCGTCGTCCCCTTCTAGACAACATTGCTGCAGCGCAGGTTTTCGTATAAAACGAACTCATTTACATTCTCCATGAATGATATAGTTGTATCTACTGGCGACCACTGTTGTGACTGGATGTTCGTTTACGTCTCTCTATTGATCATATTTTATTGACTTGGAATTCGAACTTTCTTGTCATGGGATTTACTTTTCATTATCTAGTGGTAAATTTGGTCTGCAGAGGTAATGTGTTTGTTAAATGCTTGTTGATTCACTTTAGTACCAGGCTTCTAGAAATTCCCTGGCGGTATTTTTGCTGTTTCCTCTATTTAAAATTTCTACATTATCCCATATCAAATTGGTGTCCATAATTATCTACATGCATTGATATGAAAGAATATGGATATCATGTCTTTTTACAGCTAATTTGTGTTCTTGTATTCGGATTTAAAAAGGAGGCCCACTTTGACCACCGACGTAATATTTACTGCAGTTCATGCATGCAATTTGCTTTGTGAATGGTATTAATTTTATCTTCTTTTTCTGTTGGTAGGGTCTTTTGGTTAACTCAGTATGGAATGAAGTGATTGTGCTGGCTGACTGGTTGGCTGGCTTGTGTGCTTTATTTATTTGAAACGGTCTTAATATTCTAGCTGTTTTTTCAGAGATACTTTTTATATTTGGTATGGAGAATTTTTTTGTGATCATTGATGTTGGCTTGTTATTGATGTTATGACTCGGGTTTAAACACTTTTTGATGAAATTGTGAGGATATACCATGTCTTTGAATTCCATTTTAATAAAAATATGATCAATAGAGACGTAAATTAACATCTAGTCACGACAATGGTTGCCAGGAGATACAACTACATCACTCATGGAAGATTTAAATAAGTTCATTTTATACTAATTTCGCAGATGATGCATGTCTAATGTCACAAAAACTCGAAAACTTGCAGGCAGGCAGGCAGGCGATAACCAACAAAGTGTCTGAAGAGGCTGGCAGCGAAGACAGAACTCCAGGTGAACACAGAGAAGACGGAGGTGGTGAAGATAATCAACGAACCAAGACAATAACAACAACCAGCACCAATCACCATCAACCGGAGAGATTTAACAGAGGTTGCCTCCTTCACTTATCTGGATAGGTAGCATCGTTTCAACTACAGGCCAGTGGAACGGACGAAGATGTCAAAGCAGGCCAGTGAGAATCGGAAAGGCAAGATACACCGTCATCAACCTGAAACCAGTTTGGAAATCTTCTGCACTCAGCATAAGGAACCAGATTTGAATTTTCAGAACAAATGTGAAGTCGGTCAATGCTTCTATGTGGGTGAGAAACTTGCACTGCGTGTCACGAAAACGATTTCCAACAGGTTGTTGCATACTTTCATCAACAGCTGTCCACTTCGCTGGTTGACTATATACTGTTGATCGAATGGCCAGTCAGAAAGAATAAGTAAGAAGGAGAAACTGTGTCTGGGAACAAACCAACAGGCGAGAGCCAATTGGTCAACAGATATGTAGGCGAAAGTGGAGATTAATCTAGCATACACGCCACTGAAGAGATCGTGGAATGATTTTGCGCGCAATGCAGGCCATCCAAATAGGAATCGACGTGTGTTTCGTCAGTGCGAGGGTGATAGTGTAGGAGATCTTGTGAAGAAGAGATGAGAGAGTGGAGAGAAGAATCGTGAAGCTAACCAGCTGAAGAGGACGGCAGAAAACAGAAGAAAGTGGAGATGTGTTGTTGAAACCAGCCCTATGTTCCACTCAAAACGCAAGGGAATAATAATAATTTGATACTAAAACCTGCGCTGAAGCGATGCTGTCTTGAAGAGGGGACGACGAAATCTTTGCAGTTAAATCAACCAGCTTCTCAGAGAACACAACTATTTCCCCATCATCCACCTGAGCTACAAACCTTCTCCATTATTTCAATAGCCCAAACTAATTTTTATTCTTGTCTAACAAACCTAATTTATATAACACACACACGTAAACAAGTCTGAAGAAGTTCAGTAGGCTCTCAACTCTTACAACTTGAATTTTTCCGGGGGGAATTTATTCAATTTTCAATGGTAGATGCCGTTATCTACTGACAGCAGCTACAGATTCATTGGAAAATCAAAAGACCCTAGATGGCTGTTTCGTCTTGACTTATCGGACTCTTCATAAATGTTCACCCATTAGTGAGGAAAATTCCACCTGAGAAACATTCTTATACTATAAACATCTTCCTATTATTAATTCTAAGGCACATTATAAATTACAGTCCTTTTTACTATTAGTTCTGTTCATTTGGCAGCTATGTGCTACTTATAAATAGATATAAGTAATATATCAAGTAATGTCTTGAGGTGAACAGTGATAATCTCTCTGTGTGTGTATGTGCGTCAGTGGAAAGCCTGTGAAAAATGGAAGGCAAGAAGTAGACGACAACACTGAGAAAAGTGCGCGTGATTTCGTCTTATTCAATATTCCTACTTCCTTTACCGGTCCAGTTCACTTGAATACAACATGACAAACTATCTCAACTTGCAAATGTCAATCGCCAAACTTTCGTTTGGTAATCAGTTTATAAGAAAATAGTGACCCTCCCCCCGCCAACAATTATTGGTCTGTTAGGGATTTAATTGATTTTACTAAGAGAGAACTAAAGAAAACCCAGAAGCGTTCCACAGATATGTTCTAGTCTAGTCTGAGACACTTTATCAGTACTCGCTGATGATCAATCCTACAGGAGATCAAAGCCAGAATATTCAGGCTGTCAGGTGAACACGCACGCTATCAATCAGCTAATTATTCACATTGAAATAAGCAGTCAAAGTGTTGCTAATTTACAAAAGTCAGCATCCATACGCCACTGCATGCCGACCCAGTGAGTGAACAGTCAACGCGCCCCCTCGTAAACTTAAGATCCTGGACCCAATAATACTTGATAGAGTTATAGATGAAGACTGCTGAATAATTCTGGAAAGCTGTTCTAGCTTTCATCGATTCTCAGAGGGATAAAAGTTCATGACAAAATTTACCCCTAATTCATTAATTTTCAAGTATTGATTTTGTAGGGATTTTGTTTGACTGGATGGAGGATTTCATCATGAGCTAACATAAGTTAGACAATCACTGGAAAATCAGCTGGGACTACTGGACAGCTCTCTGTTTCGTCTGCCCAGATTGGGACTCTTCAGCAGTACGCATCCACCACCACCGTTCGAAACCTGTACCTTCTGGTTACAAGGCGATCTCGTAGACCAGTGGGTGCGTACTGTGAAGAGTTCCAAACTAGGCAGACGAAACAGCTAGCTGTTCAGTACTCCTTGCAGGTTTTCCAGTGGTTTTCTAACTGATGTTACCTCATGATGAAGTCCTCCATCCAATTCATGAATTGCTTTTTATTCACAATGAAAACACACAGGTAGCAAATCTAAAAACAACATAACTTACATCCAGTGACACCTGATACAATAGTGCCTATCAATGGAGTTTGAAAACGTGCATTTACTTTACCCAAGAAACGGAATAACAATCCATCTGTAGCCATAGCATACAAAACACGTGGCAATGGAAACATTGAACCTAGAAGGCTAAAAATATAGTCAAATGAAAACGGAATAAGTGCATATATAGATATGAATTCAAAAAGTATGAAGGAGTTATTTACCCCATAATGGAATCAGGAATTGGACAAACCCTTTTTCTGCACTCACTTCAATAAGTGTCCGTTTAATTGTAGCTAGATAAAATATTTTATTTAAAGCTTTAATTTGTAAAACGGTAAACTTATTGTTACATCATGGTGTATTGGGCAAAGTTAAACTTTAAGCACCACTAACTACCAATCAGCGAACGGCCTTGAACGCACCAATCACGTGAAGGAGGCATTTTTGTGTATGGAATACATATATTTATGAAAAAAATGCATAATATCTGCATAAAAGTGCTACAGAGGATACCTTCCTCTCACATTTGATAAAAATAGCTCTCAGTTTTAGGTTGGAGTATCAACAGAGTATAATTCCACTGTGGATAAAGTTTATTTTGATAAAGTCTCACAGTGTTATGCTGTAATATTTACTGGGCAATAAACTGTGCTCGAAAGGTGGTCATCAGTAAATATTGCTGTATAACAACACTGTGAAACTTTATCAGAATAAATTTTGTCCACAATGGAATTATACTCTACCACAGTGCACAAGTTCTATTCTTATATCAACACAGCAACATAACCACATTCTACGCAAGTAATCATTTAGGTCTTCTAACCCTAACAATAACCCAAATATTTCCTTAACCTAACCCTAACGAGAAAATATCCCTAAACTAACTGTAATCTAACTCGAACCAACTCTAATGTCGCCTTTATTAGGATAACCTAATCCTAACTTGTCCCTCACTTAAAGCGTAACTTAAGTTTTCTCAAACCTAAGCTGAAACTTCCCAGATATCCCATTTAAAAGAACATAACACTTCGATGAGGATATTTTATTGATGATGACAACATTATTAGCGAGATTTCACTAACTTGCTCAGTGGGCGTTTCAAGGTCATTGGGGCGACACACTCCATTCGTAGGTAGAGGTGACCTACACACTTGCCATATTTCTTGACTTGAAGACGACTTTCGACTCCGTGGATCGAAAGGTACTATGGCAATGTTTGACTGTGAAGGGAGTGCCAAGAAAGTACATTGCACTAATCAAGGCACTCTACTCAAACTCACGTAGCTGTTTAAGGGCTTATGGGGAATTGTCATCTGAATTGATAACAACCAGTGGTGTCCGTCAAGGATGTCCACTTTCCCCTTTTCTGTTTAACTTCATCATAGATATGCTAATGGAAGTATCCTTAACTGAACTTAACGACTTAGGAATCGACTTGTTACCAGAGAATAGTCTTATGGACTTAGAATATGCAGATGACATAGTCCTGTTAGGGGGGGATGCTGACAAAATGCAGAGTCTTCTGAACACCTTGAGCAGCAATCTTCGTATGTTTGGCATGAGATTCGCCCCTGTGAAATGTAAGATGCTGCTGCAGGACTCGACTACGTCAACTCCTAGCTTAGTGATAAGAAGTGAAGTGATAGAACATGTTGACCACTTCACCTATATGGAAAGTTGTAACAGCACCAACGGACTGATTGGCGACGAAATCTCAGTACGGATCCAAAAAGCTCGAGCTGCTTTCGCTAACTTACACCATCTCCGGCATAGGCGACACACCCAACTATCAATCAAGGGACGTGTGTACTGCTCAGCAGTTCGCTTCGTCCTTCTCTATGGCTCTGAAACATGGCCAATACGAGTTGAAGACATGAAAAGGCTGACTGTCTTTGATCATAGATGTCTACGATCTCCTTCCCACGTTAGTTGATATAATAAGGTAAGTAATGTTGACGTTAGGCGTAGAGTGTTGGGCAAAGAGGGAAAATCAATTGAAGAGGCTATAAGGATACATAGATTGAGATGGCTTAGTCACGTGCTTCGCATGCCTAACCATCGCCTCCCCTAACGGACGGGCATTACTAGCTGATATAGGTGTGGGTTGGAAAAGAGTAAGTGGTGGCCAAACAAAAACATGGCCTCATCAATCCATGAAATCCTTGACAGTTAAACTGAGTCTGGTAGGGAGATGCAGACTTCCGGGTTGGGGCCCTCGGGACTCTAAGAATCAATGGCTGGAGACAATAGGCGACATGGCTCAAAATCGTTAGTGGCGCAGATGTATTCAGTCTCTGTAATCTTTCATATTCCTTTCTACCATTACTCATTCTGTTTCACTCTTATACTTGTCAAAACTCTATTGATTCTCTTCACTCATCTTCTTGTCTACCTTTGTGTGCCATTTGGAACGTGGCAACTCGAACTACTGCACTTCGGTGCCAAGTTCTATTTTGAATCCAGACAGACAGTGACACACTAGAACACATTTTCAGTCGTTGAGGAAAGAGTTCATTAGTGATTCACCTCATTTGACTCAATTCAGAGAGGCGAATTAATTCAAACCATCAAAACTCTAGTTAGCTATTTAAACAGAATGGTAATACATAGAATCAAAGAAAAAATTTATTTATTAATATGATTCGAATTTCCTACAACCGGTTTTCTTTGTTAGTTTGTATAAAGAAAGAACGAACATATTTTCAGACAAGATAATTCGAGCTCCTTTTATTTCATGAATTGATTCTATTCAACTGCGTAAATCGTATGACTAATTCATCTGCATTTACAGTAGCAAGTACATAGGAAGGATTGAGAGGAGAGGAGAGTCTCCTAGATTCTCCAAGCATATCCTTAAATGTCTCCCCTTATGAAAGATAGAAAAGTGTTCTCAGACACCACCTAATTGACATGGGACATTCAGTGGAAATTAGTCAGGCCTTCAAAATAAGCAATACACTAAGAAAAGTCTGGTGACTTCAGTTCTTAGAAGCCACTGCCATCAAAAGACTTCGAACCAACGCGTGCATAGACAAAAGCAGTGTGACTAATCTCTCACAACCCTATCTGGTAACCATCATTGTTTTATTCTGTTGCATAACATTCCAGTCAATCTTGATTTTGATTTTCACTCACTGAGTTCAACTCACTATTAAGGTTCTAAATCTACTAAATTAAATTATTTTTGTCTATCTTATTATTCTACTTCACCATTCACCCACACC